GCGGGGGGGTGGTGGTGGAGGGTGTGTGTGGAGGAGACGGGGTGGTGTTGGTGGAGGAGGAGGAGACTGGGGACAGGGGGGAATCGGCAGGGATGGGGGGAAGCTTACCTGCTGCTGCCGCTTCCTCCTCCTGCTCTGCGTGGAGCTCTCCCCCCCGCGAGTATCGCGGGTCCCCTTTCTTGTCCAATCTAATTATCAAAACTCCCAAAGCCTTCCTGTTGTGTGAAACACACCAGCCCCTTAAGATACAGACCAGTGTCATGGTTAATCCAAAGAGAGCCTCTCCCACCCTGGTGGTGAAGAAGAAAGGCAGTAACCTCTCCCTAATGGCAGAAGGAAGAGGCACTTGCCTCCAAATGGGTTATCTTCTTATCTTTTTCCTGCAGCTGGTTTTTGAGAGCCTGGATCTCTAGGGGAGCGACATGAGGCTGCTGCTTGGGATCCAGTTTTTTGATGACCTGTGGAAGAATCCAGACAATCTCCAGGTTAACCAGGCTTTTTGTAAGAACAGAAACTGTGTGGTCCCCAACCGAAGACCAAAAACAATGGTACTGATGGAGTCACAATGACTGCAGAGCCATGCATGTGAGCTACCAAGATATTCTGCAAGACTTCTCCTGTAAATATATACATGCACACACACTGTGATGCACAGAAGAGGAGGACTTCACTTACTGTGCAAGCCTTGTCCATATAGCGCTTGTATCGCTCCTCCATGGCTCTCATGTCCTCGTCCTTCTTTTTCAGAGACTGCTGTAGTTCATCAATCTTCTTAGCAGCTGTTGAGAGGCAGGGACATCAGAGGCATCCAGAAGGCCGGGGGTGGGGGGAGGTAGAGGGAAGAAAAAGAAAGGGGTTCATATTCTACTGTAAACCCTGGGAGAATTACTGTTTCTATGTAGTCAAGGCTAGAATTCCTCCTTATTAGACTTGAAGCAAACAGAGGGGGCCTGGCTTCTGAGCTGGGTGTGAAGAAGAAGAGGAAGAAGAGGAAGAAGAAGAAGAAGAGGAGGAGGAAGAAGAAGAAGAGGAGGAAGAAGAAGAAGAAGAGGAAGAAGAAGAAGAAGAGGAGGAAGAGGAAGAGGAAGAGGAAGAGGAAGAGGAAGAGGAAGAGGAAGAGGAAGAGGAGGAAGAGGAGGAAGAGGAGGAAGAGGAGGAAGAGGAGGAAGAGGAGGAAGAGGAGGAAGAGGAGGAAGAGGAGGAAGAGGAGGAAGAGGAGGAAGAGGAGGAAGAGGAGGAAGAGGAGGAAGAGGAGGAAGAGGAGGAAGAGGAGGAAGAGGAGGAAGAGGAGGAAGAGGAGGAAGAGGAGGAAGAGGAGGAAGAGGAGGAAGAGGAGGAAGAGGAGGAAGAGGAAGAAGAGGAAGAAGAGGAAGAAGAGGAAGAGGAAGAGGAAGGAGGAGGAGGAGGAGGAGGAGGAGGAGGGATTGGATTTATACCCCGCCCTTCACTACCCAAAGGAGTCTCAGAGCGGCTTACAATCTCCTTTCCCTTCTCCTCCCCACAACAGACACCCTGTGAGGTAGGCGGGGCTGAGAAAACTCTGACAGAAACTGCTCTTTTTCAAGGACAGCTGTGCCAGACTACGGCTTGCCCAAGGTCATCCAGCCAGGTGCAAGTGGAGGAGTGGGGAATCAAACCCGGTTCTCCCAGATTAGAGGCCGCGCACTTAACCACCAATGTTACCTCTAAACTGTGGAGTCTTTTGAGCAAAAATTCTACTTTGTGAGCTACTGGCCTTAAAGTTTTGAGTGAGCGATTTGGCTGCTGCAGAAATCAGTTTGCTCTGGAGCCATCCTTCCTGAGCTAAGGCAAAAATGTGTGAGCTGGAGGCTAAAAAACTGTGAGCTAGCTCACACTAACTCAGCTAAGAGGGAACACTGTTAACCACTACACCAAACTGGTCTATATTCAGGGCTCTGACACCCAACCACTTACTAGTGCTATCCACTTTGGGCTCCAGTTCATCAAGACATTCTTTTTTCTTCTGCAGCTCTGCATGGGCCTCATGCAATTTTTCTCTGGCCAGGAAAAAGAGGCAAGAGTTAGACCTGAAGAACAAAGGCCCAAAATACTTGAAGGATGTGCACATATGGCAAAACAAACCTAGCATATGTAACATGCCAGGTTTTGAAACAGGCTCTTGGATACGTCAGCTGCAACATAAGCAAGTCCCTTGACCATTAGGTTCACAAAGCTCCTTTTCTGACCCCACCCCAAATACTGTGAATGGAATCACTTACAGGTGCTCCTCCAGCTTCTTCTGCAGCAGAGAAGACTAAAAGAAAAAGAGAGAAAGTCTGGTTTAGCCAGCCACCATACTCACTAATCCCTTAGCTAAAATCTAGTTTTGGCCACTAGAATGAGACAATGCTACAGGCAGTACAGGCAGCATCAGAAAATACATGTAGTTGTGCTGGGTCCAGTACAGGGGCCTGTAAATCTGCACACACAGATTGTCAGTAAACAATGGCATTATTTTAACTGGGTATCAGAGGCATCATAAATTTTAAAGCTCCAAGGTAACCGGGATGCTGCTGGACTCAAAAAGCATTTTAGCAAAACAGGACAAACAGAATCTCACTTGGTTGGGTAGGCAAAGAGCAACAGGAAGAATTTTCAGCAGAACTAAAACAGCTTTTTAATTTTTTACCATCAAGTTGCAACCAGCTCATGGAGACCCCTGTTCGGTTTTCAGGGCAAGAGACTAACAGAGGCCCCAGCCACATGGGCTGGAAAATGCGGGGGGGAAGCGTGGCTGTTTGCCCCGGGGCAAACTAACGCACGAGTGCGCAATCAGACGTCCGGTTGAGGTCCCGTGGCTAGGGGGGAGGTGCCGATCACACCACAGGCAAAGAAGCGGGGCGGCACGGCAAACGGGGTTGTTGTTTTTTTCTTTCCCTTTTTAAAACTGAAGTGTGCACATGCTCCATTGGGTGCTTGTGCGCATCCGTGGAGCCTTGGGGGAAAAAATGACCTGTTTTGCGAGGGGACATGGGCAGGCGCCAGATGCCACTGTGGAGGTGAGATCGTGCCCGGAAAATCCGCCTATCTTCCGTCTCTGTAGCGTGGCTAATGCTCCGTGTGACTGCAGCCAGAGGTGGTTTTGTCATTGTCTGCCTTTGCATAGCAACCCTGATATTCCTTAGTGGCCTCCCATCCAAATACTAACCCAGGCCAACCCTGCTTAGGTTCTGAGATCTGACGAGATCAGGCTAACCTGGATATCCAGGTAGGGGGGCGGGGAAACAACTCTTAAACTCCCCTCTCCCAAATCCCACTGCCTGGGATTGAGGCTGCAATCCCAGAACAAAAACAGGTCTATACCAGACCTGTGATATCCTGACTTCCTCCAAACTGCTCCTAGCTTTGAAGGCAGCTTGTGTGACAAAGAAACCAAAAGGCCCTCCACTCCTTTCAAGACCACTCTTGGACGGTCCATTTTAGGGTGTCAGGAGAAGTAGGCAACCCAAGGCAGGCCTTACATATTCAGCATTTACTGGGGCTCCTTCTAGGTACACAGTCATTTGCTGACACAACCTCTTTACAAAGATTTTAACACAGCATATCCCTCCTCACTGCAGTCATTTTAGCTTGTAAGTACAAGCTAAAAGTGTTCTATGCCCATCCATGCAATTGTATTAATTTGTGCTTCACCTAGTCACAGACACAGCTGAGGAGCAAATGTGGGGCACTAAATTCTGTCCCAACCAGGAAAGTTTTATTCAGCTTCACTGTGGCTACTGAATTAACCAGGCATTCGCACATACTGTCAAGTCTCTTTTTATACTGTAAGGGCTAGGTAAAGGTAGGTAAAAGTTTCCCTTGCTCAAAAGCCAGTCGAATCCGACTCTAGGGATGCGGTGCTCATCTCCGTTTCCAAGCCGAAGAGCCAGCACTGTCCAAAGACCGTGCTCATGTAGCCGGCATGACTAGACGCTGAGGTGCACGGAACGCTGTTACCTTCCCATTGAAGTGGTACTATTTATCTACTTGTAATTTCTTGCTTTCAAACTGCTAGGATGGCAGGAGCTGGGACCAGAGATGGGAGCTCACGCCGTCATGCGGCACTCGGGTCTCGAACTGCTGAACTACTGACCTTCTGGTCTGCAGTTCAGCATCTTAACCACTTGAGCCACCGCAGCTAGAAAGGGCTAGAAATGTACAAAATTCTACCTCCTGAAGAAATTACTTAAAAAAAAAAAAAGCATGCTTGCTACTCTTGTCCAGGATTCTCACAGAATATTTTCACTAGTTTCCTGTGGCCTCTATAATACTTTTCCCCCACCTGCCCAACTTCTCTTACTGCCTCCCCTATATGCTGAGGCAACTGATCTCTTAGCGATCAGAAACGCATGGCCCACTCACTCCCTTTCCATGATCCACAAAGGATAATACCTCACTCTCTGGGAAACACAGGGTACATAATGATGTGTGCCTCTAGTGTCCCACGTGCTATGCTCCCACATCAGATTCAGAAACAGCAAAATATAGTTAACGGATTACATGAGAGAAACCAACCTTGTTTTATCTAAGAGATTTAGGACTGATATAGTAGTTAACTGGCACCCTTTCAAACAGACCACTGTTTTAGAACACCACTGAGCAGCAATAACCACCTCAAAGCAATAGCCGTGATTTGCCTCAGGTTCAGCACTGAGAGACCTGTGCTCATGACACCCCCAAGCCTTCAGAATAGGCCCCTTAATAGCCCCTAGCCTATGAATCCAGACAAACCATCCCTCCTTGATGCAATAAGACACAACACTGACAGAAGAGAAGCAACAGTGAGTTTAGAGCAGAGTAGGTTAGACTGTGCAAGTACTTACAATGGCCTGGACAGGACAGATCAGCCAGCAAGTTAGGGGGGAAGAAAGAGAGGGATGTTAGCCAGTGAGAAGGGAAGGGTCCAGTCAGGAGATCACAGGGAGTTTTAACAGGCCACAGGAGGAGGATATATGGCTCTTAATTAGGGCTAGACAAACCACACTCTACCCTGGGAGTCCACTGAGATCTCTCTAACAGGTAAATAACCTCCTCCCTCTAAATAGGCAGTTCTCTCTTGCTCAGAACTGGCAGTCCAATCTAGTATTTCACACCTCCCAAGAGTGTGGGCCTTGTAACATTTACCATGGAAATTCTATGACTTTTGTCATCCATATGACAACAATCCTGCCAAATGACACCCATAGCTTGAAGCTATGCTCTGAGTGCTGGGATAATTGGGGAGAAATACATAGGGAATATAGGGACAGAGTTCTCTACCTCACACACAAAAGAGTACCTATAAGCCTGCATAAGACAGTGCAGCACAAAAATCACACATCCCAGCACACAGGTAATTTAACAGTTCCACTTTGGGCCTGGCAAGGGGGTGAATGCCAGTCACCATTACTGCCAGCTCATCAGAAGTTCTGCCTTCAGGAGGAAAGGAGACACAATGGCCTCTGCAAAAGCCTCCTCTGACCCATCTCGAACGACTTCTGTGAAGGACTCTGAGAACCCATTTTCCAGCAGACTCACATCCTCTGCCTTGCTTCCTTGCTCCTGAAGGGCCCTCTGGAGCTCTTCCACTTGTGCTTTGAGCTCCAACACTTGCTGCTGACTCAGTCTAGATGAGGTAAAAAAGAACAATTAAGCAGGGAAAGGGGAAAAGTCAGCTGCAAGTGACAATGGAAAACCTTGACATGTTGTCGTTATAAATTATTCTTAGCAGTTGGGTACTGAGAGAAGGCACAGCAGTAATCACTTCTCCCAGTCACCTGACAGTTTTTTCCTACTTCAGCAAAGCATGGGCCTACTGAGCTCCCATCCCTACAGGCTATCTTCTCCACAGAGCATCCATCATTTTGCCCTGTTCTCTAGAGATGGAACATGTTTAGTTATGTGAAACTGCAAGGAACATAAAGTGTGTATGAGCTAATAGAGTTAATGTCTGTGTAGAAAGCCAAGATTGGAACCATATTATTACACAAGGTCCTTAAAATAGGGAGGTATCAGTTAAAATACACAAGCTAGAGAGAAGCACATGAATAATAATGTTCTTGTTAAACCAGGCAAAAAGTACTTAAACTCAAGTATTCTCTATTTGAGCGTTCAAATACTCTATGGGCAAGCAGTAGATGTTGCCCCACTAGTTTAAGTAGAAGGTAAATATTGTTTAAAAGGTAAAGGTTCCCTTGCTCGAAAGCCAGTCGAATCTGACTCTAGGGTTGCGGTGCTCATCTCTGTTTCAAAGCCGAAGAGCCAGCGCTGTCCGAAGACGTTTCCGTGGTCATGTGGCCGGCATGACTAAACACCAAGGCGCACGGAACGCAGTTACCTTCCCACCGAAGTGGTTCCTATTTATCTACTTGCAATTTCTTGCTTTCGAACTGCTAGGTTGGCAGGAGCTGGAACTAGAGATGGGAGCTCACTCCATCATGCGGCACCCGGGTCTTGAACTGCTGAACTACTGACCTTCCACAGCCTGCAGTTCAGCGTCTTAACCACTTGAGCCACCGCAGCTCCTAAGTATTGTTACTTCAGCCAAAAATACAAAAAAAAGGGGTCTAGAATTCTGTGTTAAAACTGCTAGATTTTTTTTACCACCAGGAGTCAGTTTTGCCACTGTGGCTGTTTGGCAGGCTTGCTTGCTATTTTGTAAGTTGAAACATCAGAAACAATGTACCAGTTCTCTCCCCCCACCATTTTTGTCAGGGCTAAACAGCATATATGAAGAAAGTCAGGGCCTCCGCAGCCTAGTTCTCCCAACAGCATGCACGGAACATAGTAAACCTCTAAGCCATCCAGACTATTGGGTACCTTTGCTGGGCCTCCAGCTGGTTCTTAGTCCGGTTTGCTTCTTCCAGCAACACCTGCAGCTCAGCTTGCTGCATTCGGTATGACAGCTCCTGTGCGCACAGCATCTTGTTCTCGTGCTGCAGCCTCACAATGGTCTCCCTGAGCACAAGTAGCATAACACGTTAGAATATAAGTGGCAATGAGGATCAGCATCAGCTGATGGGAGTGGACTGAGGGGGATGGAAGCCCTTCATGGGTACAGGCCATTCTCCACCACCAGCTGTCATGGAGTCAGTCATGGAATACACCATCTTAAAGCAGAACAATGTATGTTGGGATATGAAGTCTTCAGATAATACATCTCTGTTACCTAGGCTATCCATAAGAAACACCCACTACAGTGGATGCTGGAAAAGCCAGACCCTAATTAGTAATGCAGGAAAAGACCTGGGATGGACAATCCCATGTAACAATAGAAGACATCCTTGGGACTAATCGTTCTTTCTACAAAGATTGGGAAACATATATCCAGAGGACACCCCCCCCCCTTACCAGGAACAACACCTGTACCGGGAACACCAGAGGTTGTGGGATTGCTTCACCTCACAATCCTTCCAAGCTTGACCTCACTAACCCCAGCTCCCAGCTGATGGAAGTGGACAAAAAGGAACATGGAAGACGGTAATCCATGATGTGGGCAGATTTTTGCTCTCCCTACTCCACCAAAACAAGATGCCTGAAGATCATAACTTTACTTGAGTTCTGCTGGCATGATCTCAGCAGCCAAGTTGTCCACAGGAGAAGCAATTTCTTCCAGCATGGGATCTGCAAAGGTATTGTGCCAGGAGAAAGATATTAGACAAGGCAGATAGTTGTGCTTGCAAGTGAAATCAAGACTCTGAAGATGTTGGTCACCTCAGATAAAGAGATGGTCAATAGTAAACTCAAGCCTATAAGGTTCTTCAGAACAGTTGCATGAGTGATGCTCTAGTACATGCTGCGTGCCACAAAGCCTTTTAGAGACATGATCACATCTCTGTGCACAAAGCTGTAATTCCTCATAATTCCTCCCCCCTCCAGCCAACTGATAACAGCCCTTGAGCTTTCTTCTCATGACTGCAGAAATTAAGCAGCACGTTGGGGTATAGGGTGATAAGTCTTTGCTATGGCTGCTCAGGTATTTACAATGCTTAAAATGCAACTGATGTCTCTCCCAACAGAAATACTGTAAGCTGTACCCTAAATGACTTACCAGCTTGGTTCAGGAATTTTTGCTGCACCTGAGCACATCGCAGCTCTTCATTGGCCTCTCGGAGGGCATCCCGTTCTTCAATCAGCCTCTGAGGAGAGTCAGGCATCAGTCCATAAACTACGGTAGTACTTTGCTCCAGAAAGACACAACCCAGATGTCTAAGACTCCCGCTCCCCCAAGTCTTCCCATTCTTCCACTGGAATTTCACCCAAAGCCCTGGGTACAGCTCATCAGGAGAGCCAGGTCCCACATTACCTCTTTCTCTTTTACCACTGCCTCAAACTTTTCCTTGAGGTTCCTGAATTCAAACTGCCACTTTTCTGCCTTCAAGGCTTCGTCTGCATGCTTGCTGTGGAGCTCCTGCACCTGGAGGAGGGGGTAACAGGAGTTTGCTATTTTATGCCAGTTCTGGCTCCTCGTTTCTACTCCTCCGCTGTTGTCACCAATAACCCTCTGTATAGCTTTCTCAGGTACCTCAGATCTACTTGCAGCACCACTAAAGCAGATATTCCTTGCTTTGGCACTGAGAAGAAACAGCTGAGGATGAGGGTTCTACTTGAACAGTCACACAGCACAGATCCAGTTACCAGTTCAGCTCTGGTCAAAAGGGTTTTTAAACTTTGGCGCAATCAGCTGTAGCTCAATAACACTCTAATGTGCCTTTTGAGCACCTTCAAATCAGAAAGCATGGCACTGTCTTTGTCAAGTGTTCCAATAATTTTGACGGTGTTCAACAGCTTGAGCATGGTCCCTTATCACCTCACCTGCCTCTTATGTGCCTCCAGTTGTGTGCGCACAGCATTAGCACGGCGCAACTCCTCCTCCAGCTCACAGGTGCGCTGCATATAGACTGTGTTCCGCTCCTCGAGCAGTCGAACCTGTCGTCGCAGGTCACCCAGGTCTTCTAGCTTCTTCTTGTAGGAGTCCACCATGGCCTCCAGCCGTCCCACCCTGTCTGATGAGTGGCTGCAGTAAATGACGCAAGGGAGGCAGACAAATGAAAGTGTTACACTTTTCATCACTAACTTTGAACTCGCACTGTATCCCCTCCAATGTCTAACAAACACAGTAACTCTTCTGAACGTGGAAAACCTCAAACATAGAGCACCAGAAGATTTTGCAGCAAGGCCAGAGTGTACCTGTGGTGTCCTCGCTTATTGGGGAGACTGTTTCTCCTGTAAACCACAATCTGTGTACATGAACTTAGTAGATTTTTGCTGCCACCAGGAATTAAAAAATCCAACTCTTTTGGTAGAATGACCCAGCGTCTGGGCGCTTCAGAGGACTATGTGGCCCTGAGGAAGGATTGTTCTAATTGCTGGAATAAATTTAAACAAATAATGATTTATAAAAGAACAAAATCGGTTTCTGGGTATTTTTTGAACTGTTGTTGAAGAAAGAAAATATAACTGACAAAGCTTGGCATTACACACAGTCTCTCATACACCAAAACTCAACTCCAACAGGCTTATCTCTCTCTCATATATAGCCACACAGGCTACTCTACTGCTCATATAACCACACAGGCTGAACTTTCTCTTTCATAGCCACACAGGCTAAACTAAACTCCAACTGCTTCCTCTGTCACACAGACTCTCATACACACGTCTATTCAAGAACACAGAATCACCTCATAGACATCTCTCCTCCCACACTCTCAGTCATCAGCCAATCACATCACACATCTCCCTCTATCACTCTTCCTTAAATTACCGCAGTCACACTAAACATTTAAAGAAACACACACACCAAAAATGGGATCATTACAGTACCAAAAACTGAAATAATTGTGGATGAACAACTAGTGTCCCCTTCATCTGAATCCAAGCCCTGTAATATATTCCAGATCTAACAAGAAGATTATTTCTTACTTTTACACTGTTCACATAGTCTGGGCCAAGGAATCAGTCACAGAACCATCTGTAGAGTGGAACTACGAACAGCAACCAAAAAACAGGGTATTGGATCCAGCAACCTATCAGCAGAAGTCACACATTTTTTTCCACATTACCCACCTCACACAAGTTGGGAGGCTACAGTGGTCGCCCTTTCTGCCTCTTCTATCAGCACAGCTCCATTGACAAGAGGCAGAAGGTAGTGCTTTCTCCCCCTTTCCAATGCAGCCTCCTGGGAATATTTCTCAGCAAAAACCAACAGAATTCTACATCAGAAGCGATGTTCCATGTGCTCATACAAATTCCTGAACTCTCAGAACTACAACCACAAGAATACACTTTCTCCCCAGAACGTCAAGTCTTGAAAACAGCAACATTTCTTATCAAGGATGTAATAAGCATACAGGCACCATCCTTGAATCCACTGGAATGTTTCTGCATTTCCTCTTGCAGAGGCAGCTCCCACAGAATTCCTGAACTATCTTTTGAAACCAGTCATTCAGGTGCGATACAAAAGTGTCTGAGAGTGAAAACCTCACCTATACATAGTGTGCATCTCTGAACTGAAGCCCACGTCTAAGACTCCTTGGAAGCTGCTGCATCTGGTATGTCCTGTGCCAAAACTTTAACAGAGATGAGCTCATCTCTTCTATCAGCAGAAAAGAAAAACAAGGTGTAGAAAAACTATTTATTCTTTCTTGATCCCAACACGTTTTGCCTATGACTTCATCAGGGGATCTATTATAAGCAAGGAAAATGCATTCATAGAATAAAACCATGTTTATCTATCTATCTATCTCTATCTATCTCTATCTATCTATCTATCTATCTATCTATCTATCTATCTATCTATCTATCTATCTAGATAGATAGATATAGATCTATATAGACATATATAGTCATTATAATTAGAGTAATTAAAAACACAGCAACCTGCAGATTGAAATTCTTTTTGAGAATTAGGTATTTTTAAAAGAATTCTATACTAGTTTATCCCTGGAAAAACAATTAAGTGAATCATAATGATTACATATTAAGAAATATGGTTGAATGCTTACCCTTTATAGCATAAGCTTTCAATCACACCTTGAGCTTTAGAACCGAAATCAAGCTCAGGTGGTTATATGGTCCTCATTAAGTCTCTTAAAGGACCACCATTCAAAAACATTGTCAGTTCACTGTAGCAAGCATCAATTCCTTATACAACAGAATATAACCATCCTCATTAAGTCTCTTAAAGGACCACCATTCAAAAACATTGTCAGTTCACTGTAGCAAGCATCAATTCCTTATACAACAGAATATAACCATCCTAAAATTAAATTAATTCCAAATTATAATACTAATACTTATTGCTTTACATTTTCCCATGATAGATTAGTGGCATATATATTTTAGCCTTAGAATCCACTCTGCCTCTTTTTTCAGAAGTATCTCATCATTGTGGTCTGAGACCTGTTGTATAGCCCAGAAAACTATATCATTTGCAGTATGGTTATTTCCCAAAAAGTGTGTAACTAAGGGGGCTCCTGTTTAAGTGAGATATTACTTCTATGTTCAGTAATGTGTTTTTAGACATCTTGCAATTTTTCCAATATATAATTTTTTTGGCATGGACATAAAATAGCATAAATAATATTTCTTAGAGTTCCAGGTTGTAAAATCCTTCAGTTGATATTCTTTACCATCTAATGGATTCATAAAAGAATTCATATTGCATGTAAACCTACAAAATGAACACTGACCACACTGTGGCCCAAACTTCCCTTTGGGAAGTTTAGTACCTGCTAAAAGTTGCTGTTCCTTCATTAGAGAGGTATCACTATGAAGTTATAAAGCAGTTAATCTTTATATATGCCACTAATCTATAATGGAAAAATGTAAAGCAATAAATACTATTATAATTTGGAATTTAATTTTAGGATGGTTATGTTCTGTTATATAAAAAACTGATGCTTGCTATAATGTACTGACAATATTTTTGAATGGTGCTCCTTTAAGAGACTTAATGAGGACCATATGACCACCTGAGCTTGATTGCAGTTCTAAAGCTCAAGGTGTGATTGAAAGTCTTCTTGAGAATCAGGCATTTTTAAAGGATTTTACAGTAGTTTCTCCCTGGAAAAACAATCAAGTGAATCATAGTTATTACATGTTAAGAAATATGGTTGTATGCTTACCCTTTATAGCATAAGCTTTCATTCTGTAGGTTCCTTTATTGTTTTTAATTACTCTAATTTAATTATAATGGCTATATATATTTAAATATGGTTTTATTCTATGAGTGTATTTTCCTTGCTTATAATAGATCCCCTGATGAAGCCAAAGGTGAAACTCATTGGGCTCAAGAAAGAATAAGTTTTTCTACATCCTGGTTTTCTTTTCTGCTGCTATTGCTGGTGTGGCCCTGACTTCTCATCTCTTCTATGCCTATGCTGAGCCACCACTGGCTGTTTGGGGTTCTACAGCCTTGTCTTAGGTTGGCTCTATATTAAACGTATATGGATTGGAGTGATGATTTATTATAGGATTTAGATCTCCCCTTTCCCTTGCCTGCCTGCTTGGGAGAGCAATAGCAGAGCTGTGGCCACTGGTATCCCCCCCCCAATGGGTTCCCCCCCCCCCCAATCTTATGAATTAGTCTGTTGATGGGAAATAATATTTGTTAATCTTTGTGAATTCTGGCTTTTTGTTGTTCTTTAATGCTGTGAGCCACTTTGAGTCTGCATTCTGGGGAGAAAAGTGGGCTAAAAGTGCCTGAAATAAATAAATAAGGTGGCTTACAACTCCAAATTAAAACTGTACACATTGCAATAAACCCCCCCCCCAATATTCCGAATAGGAATGGCTGAATGTTAAAGAAGTTGGGTGGACTCTGAGAGAGGCCCAGCAGCAACTTAGCAAAGCCTTGGCCCAGGGTTCCCAGGTACTGAGTTTGATGCGCTCACCGCAGCACGTCCATTTCATCTTTCAGTGCTTGTGCTTCCTCGGCCAGACTAGTCAGCTCCTCATTACGGTGCTGCAACTCTTGCACCTCCCTCTCTAGATCTTCACAGCGGGCTCGGAAGTCATCTCTGCCACTTTCCAGCCTGACCAAAGACATCGCTTTTTAGAGAGATCTGTCACAGCCCACTAAGTCAGCTGTCTTTGGTAGCTAGTCTGGGAGAGGGGGGCTTGTTCCCAGAATCCCCACAGCACATGCCCTACCTGAAGTTCTCTTCCTGCAGCTGCTCTATCTGGGTCTGAAGCAGTAGCAACTTCTTGCCAGCAAGGCCAGCAGCATCTGACTCCAAAGAGCTTTTCTGATCCCGCAGGGTCTTGTTCTCCAGCACCAGCGTATTCTTCTCTTCCACCAGGAGGGAGATCTGAGCAAGTGGAGAGAATCAGACACTCCCCAGCAAGTGGGGGCCACAGAGCTCTAGCCCAGTGGCCACTGAGACTTCAGCAAGATTGTAGCTCAGAATCCATGTAGTGCTAGCAGGCCAAAAGCCTCATCCTATACATTCACAGGAAAGCAGAGAGGAGAGCTTCTCACATCTTGTCTGTTGGCCCCTCCCTTGCCTCCTGCCTTCTATCAGACTGCATCTCAAGTGGCTTCCTGCTCCTGCCCTAAGCCAGCCCCCCCCCAGGCCTGGATTTAGTGAATCAGGAAAACCATGCAGCTGGCAACAGAGAGGGATCAAGTGCCTGTGTAAGACAATTTCCATGAACGGCCTCTGACTCCCACACACACACCAGAAGAAGAAGAGATTGGATTTATACCCTGCCCTTCACTACCCAAGGGAGTCACAGAGTGGCTTACAAACTCCTTTCCCCTCCCCTCCCCACAACAGACACCCTGTGAGGTAGGCGGGGCTGAGAGAACTCTGACAGAGACTGCTCTTTTTCAAGGACAGCTGTGGCTTTCCCAATGTCATCCAGCCAGGTGCAAGTGGAGGAGTGGGGAATCAAACCCGGTTCTCCCAGATTAGAGTCCACGCACTTAACCGCTACACCAAACCAGCTACTGAGACTAGTCTCATCCTGCACTAAGTTGACTGCTGTGGGGTGGAAACTTTATCACCCAAGCAGGGACTTTGAAAGCACTGATGTGCTGTTGCAAGAATGTGAGGCTGCAGGGTTGCCAGCAACCTGGAAAGATGTCACATCCCTTGAATACAGGCGCAACATGTGGAAATGGGCAGCTGAAGCTTTTCATGGTATGGAGGTAAGTAACACTCTGTTAAGGTTCTAGTCAAGAGCCAGGACATGGTTTCCCCAGGCTGTTGGCATCCCTGGGATGGCTTGTCTCCCCCCCGCCCCCCACTGATCCAGCAGGCTCTTCCCCAGGGGAAGGGTTGGTCCTGCCTCTACTGCGTTTGTTGCAGGTATCCTGAGCTTCTGTCAAGATTAACGATGCCCCTTCCAAATTTTTTACTTCATTTATTCCCTGCCTTTCTCCCCAGGGGGAACCCAAAGCAGCTTACATTGTTCTCTCCTCCATTTTATCCTGCATTAGGACAGATCCCTTATCTCCAACAAATTAAAGGCTCTTTCTATGCTGATCAGAACCTAGCTGAGGACATTTGAGTCCACACCTGTATTTGTTTCATTGCTGATTTGCTAGGAACATAGTATGTTGGATCCCAGCAGCTTTTTTATTTTTTCTTTATTTCAACTAACCCAAAGACCCAACGGTCTTGGATACACAGCTGTACTTGTAGAGCATGTGAAAGCTCCCCTCTCTCATTTTTTACCCTACCGGTCTTCCAAGTAATTCAGGGTAGCATCCATAGCTTTCCACTTGACCCTGTGAGGTAGATTAGTGTTGAGAAAGCGTGGTCCAGGGATGGATTAACTCAAGAGGAAAGTGTTCCTTGTGGGTCTGCTGCTCTGGAGGGCTACTGGTGGTAAGCAACCCCCTATGAGGCTGGTAGCTCAGCAGAGGAGCTGCTCATCTCAGTTTGCTCCAGGGCTAGTTTAACAGCCCAGGATTCCTTCAGGCTGGCCTACATTCACCCACGGCCCAGAGGGATCTGAATCTAAGCCCTTCAAGTCCTGGTCTAACTACTATACCACACAGGCTCTCCCCCTGGCTTCACCCACCACAAGTCCTCTTTTGTGCGCTGTGCAAGCATCCCTTCTGGCATTCTCAGGCGATGGTTAACTTGTCAGCATGGTACATGCTCTCATGCAAAGAGGTTAGGCTGGCCCCATTGGGCAAAGGGGGGGGCGGTCCACTGCTGGGTGAGTGGCTCTGTTATCACAAAGCAAGAGCTTGGGGAGGGAGAGGACACTCACCTTATTGAAGGGGGGAGGCATCTCCAGGGGCCCTTTAGCACCTTGGAGGAGTAAAAGTGGGGTTTAAGGGGGAGACGTCAGTCTATCCCTTTGCCAGACCCCTTACCACCCACAGCACTTGTAGTTATGTCTTTCCATCAGACCCCTCTGCAAAACAGCAGTGCTCCCACTATTTGGGAAGGGAGTCGTCAAGACCGCAGTCACATATTGGGAAGGGGGCATCAGACAGAGGAAGAATTCAGCAGGGGGCTCAGAATCATCAAGCTGGTTTTGCTCCCCACCTGAGCATCCAAAACAGTGAGTGGGAGAGCAGCAATGCACTGGGGGGAGGGGCAAGTGCTCGCACACCACCATACTGCAGGCAATCCCAGCTGGCTCCATGCAGCCCAGCAAAGCCCACGGCATACCACTCAGGGAGAACTCCCCACCCACCCACAGATGTGGGCCTGCATGGGGAAGGGGGGAGGCGAGACATGGCAGAAACCTCAAGCACTGGGCGAGTCCAAGCATCCCCCTCTCAAGCCTCCACACATGGAGTTGTGCAACATGAGAGGGAGATGTTCACTAGAAAGACCAACATGGAAATGGCATGTCATGCAGGACTGGACATCTGTGACAGCTCAGCCCGCACCCAACTGCAACATCCCCAGAAGACAGCAGTCCTTGCCAGGGAGGAACAGATCAGCTGGCACTCTGAGCTGCACCTCTTGACCTTTGACACCGCAGTGCATAGAGAGGCTTTGCACAGCAGTTACCACCACCGTGGGATACACATTTGGGATGCACATGGGAGACACATGGGATACACACAGCAAAGCTGACCATCTACACGGACCCCTTGCTCTCGGGAGGCACTGACCTGCTGCTCTAGCTCATGACAGCGCTGCCGCGTGTCATCCGTCTCTTCAAGATCATCGCTGAGGAAGTAATATTTCCGGGACTGCAAGACAAGAGAGACCATAAGTGAGGAAAGGAGGCAAAGAAGCAGCCAGTGAAAAAGAGTCCTTGCCAAAGATATTGGCCAATGCAAGCAATTCAGAGCAGTAGAGCAGTCTAGCCTGCCTTCTCTTCTCTTACCCCAGAAGGAAAGAGGTTTCCAGGCAAACCAAGCTCCTCCAGCCCTCCTCAGCTTAAGTCCATTGCATTGCCACCATTTATTGATCCCCCCCCCCACTATAGAGCATCACAGGTACCTGGCTGTCAAAGTTCCCATATGTCTCAGAGCTCAGTGTGTCCGAAGAATCTTTGGTCAACAGCTGCAGAAGAGGAAAAGTTTAGAACTTGGCTACATCCAAATGACACAGCTTTCCAGGCAATGTATTCTGGGAAGCAGGCATATGTCAGACAGAAAATGCTGTAGAATTTCATCTAGGAAGACCAGGGCTGGCACCAAGGGGGTGTTTCCGAGGATATTAGTGTCCCCACAGCTTCCACTAATACAATTTTGAAGCAAAATGATGAGAACTGAAGGGTACTTTCTAACCAAGGAGATGGTTATGATGCCGAAGTCAAGCCAGTTCACAGTGCAAAAGCTTATGCAAGGCTGCAGACCAAACCCAGTCATGCTCACCTCCTGTATTGCCGTCATAACAACATGCTGTACAGACTCCTCTAGGGTCATGATTTGCTGGATATGATCTGCAAACAGACGAGGTTGGATACTTGTTAATCTAGTGTTTTCTCTCTTTGCACAGCATTCCATAGTTCTTTCTGTGTGAGTCATGCTGCTATCAGGGTGACAGAATAGCCTCCAGAAGCAAACCAGAAGTCATCTGAAGGAGTCTCATGAATGTAACACAATGCTGGTTGTTAGAACACCAAATATTTCTGCCTAGGACTGCTTGAAGCAGCTGGTATCTCACTGGATAACACAAGAGGTGACCTCTAAACAGAGAATGTGGATGTATCCACAGTATAGATGCATCCACAGATGTTTGTGCATACATACCTTGCTTCCTCTCACAGCTGATGGCACAACCTAACACCAGCTGTAGCAACTTGCCCAGTTCAGCTGTGTCAGAAAGCTCTGCAACCAGAGCCACATCTGGCAATAGATGCTCAGGGACTTGGTGGCCCAACACCTGAGACAGAAGCATTGGAGACAAGAAGATGTAACTTCTGACAGCCCCCCACAGCTCTCCCATGTTCTTGCCACCACCATCCAGTTTAAGACACTTGTGGGTAATTAGGCCCATGCAAGGCAAAATGTAGGACCAAGGTTTGCATGATAAATGGAAAACTGCTTTAAAATATCCCAGCTTGGGCTTAAACACAGCCCAGCAGACTATATCAGTCACGTCCATGTAGCCTAGCAGAAAAAACTTTTGAAAACAGCAAGGAAAACAGACACTTCTTTGCCAACGAGCCACAAATGAGTGGTGTAGGGATGTGTGGCATGTATCTAATCCAAACTCTAGGGGAGTGATTTTGGCAAGTTTATTTGCAAGGTTTCCATCGCTTGGGGCCATCTAGTCTTTTAGAGAGGGGTCTGCTTTTCTGTTGCCCACTTATAGACCGAATTTCATAGAAGCCACATGTCATGCTCTGGGATTCTCAACCACCTTGCCACATGCCAGAAACCCCAGTAAGGAAAGATACTCACATCCTGGGAGTATTCAACTACACTCTGAAGGACCTTCTTCAGGTTGCTCATCTGAGGACAATATGGAAGAAAAGGATACATGCATGTATAGTTTTGTCTAAGTGTCAGAGACTTGCTTTCCAATAGCCCCCTCTGCCCTGGTTCCTCCTAGTGTACGCATGGCCCCACCTAGAACAAGTCATGCAGGTCCTGAGATGGAAAGCAACTGAATCTAAAATGTCCTACGCTGGAATGGAAAGAGAAGAACTGGTCACACCCAAAGTTACTCTGAAAGGTGCTGATGGAGTCCAAGAAACAGAGTTTAGGTCTTCTATTCTTGACAGCAAGAACACCACAAGCCTCCCTGCTAAATTTCACCCCCACCTCAAATCCACAGGTGGCCACTAGGCCTGACGAGACATTAGAGTCCTGTCTAAACTGCTTCTTGTTGAAAATTGTCGATGCACCGGTCTTTTCCTGAATATTAGTTATTGGCCCCGGTCACACGGAGCATTAGGCATGCTAGAGGGACGGAAGATAGGCGGATTTTCCGGGCGCGATCTCACCACCACATCTGGGAAGCATAGAGCTCCCGTGGCTCACCCAAGGCTTCCCGCCGAAGATGCGGGGTAAAAAACTAGTACCTCGGAGGTACTAGTTTCCGGAAACCGCGGGACAAGGGCAGGCATCTGATCACGTTTCCGGTGGCATCCGGCGCCCACCCATGTCCCGTCACAAAAAGGCTCCCCCCCCCCCAAGTCTCCACGGATGCGCACAAGCACCCAACGGAGCATGCGAATACTTGGGTTAAAAGAAAGAAAGAAAAACGCCGATCCGCTTCTTTGCCGCGCCGCAGGAGCGAGGTATGATCGGCACCTCCCCGGCACCTCC